CCGAGCACCAGAGGAAGCTTTAGCCTCCGCGCGCCCCGAGCCCTCGGGGAGCGAAGCCCGAGGTGGGTCCCCGCGCGAGCGAGCGAGCGAGCGGAGCGCTGCCAAGCTGGCTGTGTCCTCCCCGCGGGGGTGGAGAGCGGCTCCCCATCCCCGCCGCAGCTCGGAGGGACGGAGACGCTGCTGCAGGCCGTCCCGAGGACCGTCCTCCCCGGACGCGCCGCCCCGACGGGGGTCACCCAGGCCGAGCGCACACCCGCCCTGGGGGCAGGCCGGCACAGAGGCCTCGCTGCGGGGACGGGGGCGGGGGCGCCAGGCCCTCGCCTCCCACGGACAGCGCGGAGGGGGACAGCGCGGGGGGGGGGGGACAGCGCGGAGGGACAGGGCCCCGTTCCTCGCAAATCAGGTCCAACCTCGCGCTCGCCACCCCGGTTTTTTTTCCTCCCACGCCATCAGCTGTGACTGATGAGAGCGTCGGGGGCCGCGAAGAGCCCCGAGCACCCCACGCGTGAAGGGAGAGGCTCTGCAGACCCCCAGCCCTCTAGGGGGGCGACCCTCTGAGCCTCTCTCCGAAGCGCGTGTTCCTGGCTCGCGAGCGGCCGAGGCCACGCGCGACCGAGGCAGGGAGAGCCGCCGAGGCAGCTTCCACGCGAGGCTCGGCGGCAGCGGTTAAGAACCGATTGAGTGGGCGGGTGGGGTGAAGAGCTGATGGGGCAGAGCGCCGCTAACCCCCAGATCTTGCGGGGGTTGGATTACTTTATTGATCTGAAGGTTGCGCTCTTTGGAATGTGACCCTGTTTGGACTTAGAGTTAATCAGGAAACGCGGCCGGGGAGGGCTCTTTGTACTCAGCCCGGGACCTCCCCCGCGAGCCGCACTCCCCACACCCCACCCCACCTCACCCCATCCTACCCATCCCCCCCACCCTACCCTCCCCACCCCGCCCCCACCCCCCACCCTCCGCCGTAGCCCCGGCCCTGCCGGGTGCCGCTTGCCTGGCCTCCCGCTCCACTGCCCGACTTGGGAGCTGTCTGTGGTGCTAGGAGAGAGGAAGAGACGCCGTGAGGAGGGACAGACAGGAGAGAGGCAGAGAAGAGGGAGCAGAACGGCGGCGCAGCCAGCAAAGCTCAACAGGGACAGAGGCCTTCACATCTCAGCTAGGAGGAGGCGAGGGAAAGGTCTCTCCTGAGTTTTCCCATCTCCCTAAGACAGTGGGGCTGGTTTCCCAACCAGAAAGGCCAGTGACTGCCCTGGAGCGCACCCACTCACTGCACCCTACTCCCATTCAGTCGGGAGCCTGTGGTCTTCTGGAGGCGCGGTGGCGAGGTGCTGGGCACCGGGCCCCAACTCAAAAAGAAAAAAGAAAAGACACAGTGGTGCCGAGGACTATATGCCCTCCCCAAAGAAAGCAGGACTGAACAAAGACTGAGAGAATGAAGGCTCCTGGAGAAGTCCATCCAGGTCCATCCAGGGTCCAGCAGGTCAGCCCTGGAGAAGGGAGCCTCTCGCCCACGTGCCCACACTCCTCCGTGGTCAGATGGTCAGGTCGCAGGGCGGGATGGGACAGCTATCCCCCAACAAATATCCAAAGCTGCAGCGGAAAGGCCAGTTTTACCTGCCCCTGACCTCCCCATGAGTGGTGAGGGCAGACCTTGCTGACTTCAAGCCCTGCCTGGCTTTTTCTTCCAGGGTTTCCTTTGTAACCTCGTGGTTTAAGGAGGCGCTGGAGTTTCCCTAGCCCTGGGGAGGGCTTTCCCCAACATTTTTAGAAAGTTAAAGACTTAACAAACCAAAGTACTTCCAAGCTGCCTTGTTTAAGGGGTAGGGGTTCACCAAACTCCCCTGCTAGGTGGCCCAGGGGAAGGCAAATTGGGGGTGGGAGGCCTGGGCGGACTTTGTTAAAGGGTAAGCTGCTTTTACAGCAACACAGGAAATTGGCTGTCTAGTTTGCCACCGTATAGGCTTTCCTTCCAAAGGAGGGGGAGCAAAAATAAATTGATACAGGTTAGTAAATATGTTTGCTGGGGCTGGAGCCAAGCAGAAAGCGTTACTTTGCAGTGTTTGGAAAACAGCTTGTTTGGGCTGCAAAGCCTGGCGGCTGGCCAGAAAGTTTAACTCCTTTCTTAACAAGCAGATACTGTTTATACTGTGTTGCCAGGGTCCCGGGCTGATCCCAAGGCCAGAAAGCCTTGGGGATGGACCTTTGTGGGGTTTTAAGCCCGTCTCTGAAACAAGTCCATTTTCCTGTGCTCCGATGGAAGCAAAGAATGCCATCAGGAGTTTCTGTTTGTCTAGACTTTACTTAATCAGTCCAGAGACGAGGCATAGTTTGCCCTTCAGAGAGGCGGGACAGTGAAGAAAGACGGGGAGTGCAGCCCCAGCGACAGCCCCTCAGGGAAGTCCTTAACCAGCCACGTCTCCTGTGAGGACACTTTGACTTGCTCCTCCATCCTTACCTATTAGCCATCTCCCAAACGTAATTGGGCAGGCGTGGAAGCACAAAGGGACCCCTTGTAAAGGAATGAACTAGTTTGTACTTGACTTTCAAGCAGTAGTTTGGCGGCTTTGAATCTTAGGGCACATGCAGCCATGTTGAAGAAGAAAAAGAGAAAAAAGAACTTGGTACCCAGCTCTCTTCCAGGCAGAATTCTTCTTGCAACACCCACTCTCCTGTCTGTACAGAACAGCGAGTAACAGAAACCAAAACAAGTGCAGGAAAGGATGGGCGTTCTCAACTAAGAGGACTATACAGAAAGATGGACAATTACAGTCAGGGGGAAGGTACCCCAGCACTGACCGCAGATGGAGTCCACGTCAGGCTGGACGTGAACCAGCCGGGCTGCCTCCCCAGTGAGGAATGCTGGCCACTGGCCAAGGCCTGGCCTGGGTATGCAGGTTTGCTCAAACACCTCCAACCCAACAGTTCTTTACGTGGCTTCTTTCAGGAACCCTGTGTGTCCCTGGCTCCCCCTCTTTGATCCAGCGTGAGCAAAAGCTTTGCGCCCTCACACCTCAGCAAACGGTTCTGCAGCCTGGGAAAATCGTCAGGAACTATTGAAACTTGATTTAAAAAAAAAAATACAACCAAAGCTAAGGTGGAAAGGGGGAATCTGCTGAGTCCCCAGGCAAGACGGAGTGACGTCCCCTTTCCCGCCAAGCCCAGCTGTCTGAGTTTGTCCCAGCTCAGCAGGCAAAAAATAGAAGGGCCAGCCCAGATTCTTGTTAGAATCCTGAAAGGGCCTTTTTGATTCAGCTGACGAGCTCGGTGGAAATCTGCAAAGCCACTCCCTAATTAGCCCGGGCCAGCGCCAGGCGCCCGAGGCAATCTCCTCCCTGCACTCTCCTCCAGCCTTCCTTCTTCCAGCCCACTCCTCTTCAGTTGAAATTCCCACGTCGCTACATTTAAAAAAAAAAAAAAAAACCAGAGTTGAAAGCACCAGGCAAAGTTAGAGGCCAGGTCTGGAGGTGGGGTAGCTGGCTCCCTGGCCTCTTTGTCAGAGCAGTGGGACGGGACTGGGGCTAGAGGTGCCTCACTGCTCACACAGGCTGGGTTTTCCCTGCTGCTGGTGAAGGGACCTGACGCCAGCCAGGGACCACTCTGAGGCGGGGCCCAGCCGGACCTCCGCCCTACAGATTTTCTTAAAGCAATCCTTAGTGCTGGACTCGGTAAAGGGACAGCCAGGCCCTGTCTCCCGTGCATTCTGTGTGTCTGTCTGTCTCTCTGTCTCTCTCTCTCACACACACATGTACACACACAACACACTTTCTCTGCACGCTGGGCAGGGTCTCTGACTGTGGGTGCCAGCCCTTCCAGAAGCACAGATAAAAGGCTTGGCAAGCCTGCCTCGGCTAGAGTTTGAGGCCGTGTTCCCGCTCAGTGGATCCAAGCACATCTCATTAGGTGAGGAGCTGGAAGGTCGCCTTTGGGGACTAAGAAGGCAAGGATCAAAGCGGCGACAAGGGTTTGTTAGCAGGGCCCCCGGCGTCCCCCGGGGCGCCCTAATTGCCCGGCCCGCAGCCTCCCGCTCGCAGGCTGTCCAGCAGCGCGGGCGACCAGCCGCGGGCGGCCGAACAGCTGCAAGGCCAGCTAGTGTCCGCCTGCCGCCGGCCCCTGCTGGCTTCGCTGGCCAGCGCCCGGACCCTCGGAGCCCCAGAAAGAGCGCTAACAGCAGGACAAGTCAGCTGCCCACTTAGCTGAGTACTCGTTCCTTAAACCGTTCTTTTAAACGGACATCACACACCAGGTCTCCACAGCTCGGAAGAGGCGGGCGCCTGGGCCGGAGCCGTCTTCCTGCCAGCCAGCCTCGAGTCCGGACGGATTTTGTGCCCACTACTCAAGGGAGATTTTACGCGCCCAAGCGTTCCATAAACGGTGAGTGCTATTTTAAGTAAAAATCAGCTCCCTGGGATTTCATTGCTTGTTAAAAAAAGATAAACTTTATTTTTGTAATTTTCAATCACAAAAAAATCTATACTTTTGTCTAAGCATTTATTTTACTGAATCAAAAAGACATGAAAAGAAGAATCATGTTCTTACTGACGTATATAAGTGACTCTCTCTTGGGCAACATATAATAAATATGATATATCACTTATCACTCAGTCTTTCAAATGTACATTTTTTTCATACTATGTAGCATGCCACTTTTCCAAAAGAAAAAAAAGCTCATGAGAAATCAGTGCAAAGTTCTCCGTCACGCTCCGCTGCTCCGAGGCAGACCGGATGTCCAGGCGGACCTTCTGCTGGGGGTGAACTTCGGCTGTCGGTCCAGCAACCCTTCTCTGCCAGAAGGTTCCTCTCCACCCGCCCGTCTCTCGCCCCTCTCGGCCCCCCCCCCCCCCCCCCCCCCCCCCCCCCCCCCCCCCCCCCCC